GTTGCAGCCATGGCATCCAATCCTGTGCTTTCATGGCCCCTTTAAAGACATGAAAAGAAATCAGTGGAGGATAAAAATTGTCCTTTTTCTTCATAAGAACATTTTGCACCTGATAGAATTCTGCAAATAATTTAAATCAGTGCATAGCGCTCAAGCCGTGATTCTGTTCCACATGTTGTTTCATGGTAATTTCCCTTCATAAGATGTATGTGCCTGCAGTTGTTGGGCTGTAGTAGGTTCAGGTTTCCTGTGTCCCATTTCCAATCTCTATGCATGTGGGATTTATAGGCACGCTACACAAAACCTACATACACTGTCTTTGAAATTCTCAGTTCTCTGTTACTTTCTTGGCCCATAATGTTTTTCTTCTACCTTCTTCCTCCTCAACTAGTTATTTGAGGTATATTTCACTAACTTCAGGCAAACACCTGTAATGTCTTGTTCCATAGAGCTACATGCCTGGTTTTCTCTTCAGAGACACCAGCTGAAGGTGCCTGGACTGCACTGTATGTTGTAAACCAGGAGTGTACTCTTAAGCCTCTCAAATGCTCTGACTTGAGATAATAAGATATTAAATATTAAAATAGTACACTCCAAAAAATTAACCTGTTCTAATACAGCCAGCAATGGGCAGGAGTAGGAGAATTTAGGAACCAGTTCAGACTTATCTTTCACAGGGTCAAATAGACAAGAAAAAAAATCAATACTACTGAAGAGGGAACTATTACAGAGCTTCCAAAAGGTGGCAAACAAAATTCAGGATATTATTTCAAAGCAGTAATTAGTAGGCTGTCGCTTATCCCACTCAGCATAACCATATACCTCAGACTGGGATACACAAATGGGCACTCCCTAAAAGAGGGACTACAAACAGCTAGGGAAGAATACTACAGCAGGGGCTTATGTAATATGCTTCTCTACAGCAATGCAAAGAACTCTGCTGCCAAAAGTGGTGTGCACTGGAACCCCTTTAGCCATGTTAACACCATGTTCTTGAAGACTAGATTATCCTATATCCCATTAGGACAGCAGTAAGATGAGAATATTCCTGGCTACAGGTATAGGAGAAATAATATATTGAGGACAAATATGAATTCTGGTCATGACCAGAGGAATTGAGTGTTCTAGGGGACAAAAAACCTCCCATCCTAACACCCAAACAAAACCCAAACAATTTCTCCACCCCCCCCCCCCCCCCCCCCCTCCCCCCGAAATCCAAAACCAAAACAGAAATCAAACTAACAACAACAATGAAAAAAGACAGTCCCAAGAAGTTTATTTAACTGCTGAAATAATACTAATTTGATGGGAAAAAGCTGCTTTTTGCATTTTGGATGTGCTGTTGTGCTTGGAGTGGTACAGCTCCATGACTTCGTCTGATATGTGGCCATTACCTAACCCAAAACACTCGTTTTAATAACTAACCCACCCAGTACCATACGAGCACAAAACAGAATAATATTTAAATGTGTTACAAACCTTTTTTTTCCCTGTGGAATGTTTTGCAGTTCCATCTCAGATTGCACCAGAGGCCTTTTTACCTCTGGCACTTGCCCACTCTTCTTTAACACTGCTTCTCTGAACTGTTTGAAGCTCTCAGCAGATGCTTTTATTGGAGCTGGAAGCTTCATTGTTTTACACAGGTTTATCCAGGAATCTATATTCTTAAATCCTGTATCCTGAAGTTATTAGAAAAAGGAAAACACAGCAGAAGCAAAAATATGGTACAACTACTAACATCCATTACCTGCTCAGTTCTTACATTAGCAAAAAATTTTTTGACTAGCTCTATTTGGAAATATCTACAACAAAATAGCCTTCCTTTGGTAGGACATTAGTGCTAATATAACAGCCTGAACAGGCTTAGATATATTTTCTCATCCACTCTGAGATTCTTTAGCAATATGCTAAAAATTGTTAGTATTTATATCTATTCTTACATTTCAAGTCTACCTCTCTTTTTTCATTTCAGAAAACAGGAATTCACAAGGCTGAGTTTACACAAGGTCCGTTGACAATGTTTTAATACAGAAAACATCCACCTACTCTCTATATGTAATCCTTACATAGCAATAGTTTTGCATTAGGCTTGTGGGTTTTGTTTGTTTTAAATACCCATGTTACCCCATTTCCCCTGTGGCATTTTCTTCACAGCAGAAAACAGCATAAAAGCAGTATTATTAAGAAATCCTGCTTCTAGCAGAAGGTCATGTGTTTATGAAGGAAATACATATTTTTGGAATTGAATTCAATATGTTAGTTAATAGCTCTCTGAAAGCTAAGTGCCTAAAGAAAAATTCTAGAAACATTTTAGCTCAATAGATTATAGAGAAAACTTTTTAGGTCCATTAGCTAAAATGATCTATTATTAGTAATTTTGATTTAATGTTTTCAAATAGCTAATTACCAGAGAAGAATTTAACAGATAAGAAAATTTCTCTGTTCTTCCACTTAAGATAAACAAATATTTCTTAGCATACAGTTTAAGTTAACTTTTATAAATACATTTAGTCATTAGAAGTGCTTTGTCTTATTTCAGAACAGGTTTTTCAATAGTACCCAAGACTATATTCCACACTACTCCTATTTTTGTTGCCAGATCAGCAAGGGAAAGCACACTAATAACTTGGATATAAGAACTAGATAATATTAAAACTAAATGAAACAAGCCATATTTTTATATGACAACATGGATATGTTATTTTATATATGTCTCATGTACCTTCTGAAATGCCCAGAGTCTATAGATTTGTTTGGTTTTAGCACTAAAAATCAGATAAATCTGTACAGATTATAACAGTGCCTGAGACATATCATACACTAAATATTCTAATTGTAAAAGAACAGATTTTTAGAGAAGATCCTAAGTCAGGAAGTTACTCAACCTAGTAAGTAAACTCACCCTCCTCTCAAATAGAACTTGATCAACACTTACCTTTTTTGGAAGAAGTTCAGATTTTGGCTCTAGTATGTTTTTATCATTAGGTTTATCGTCAGGTGTATAATGACCTGATGGAAGAATAAAAAGGCTTTTCACTCATGTTGATTTTATGGATATATTTCCCTCAAAATTAAATGATAAAACTTCAGTCATTCCAGGAATGACTTATAAACTTACACTGCAGTTTACTATTATTTGGTTCAGAATGACAGAAATTCTCCCAAACATTTCCTAAGATTAAGTTGAACTGGATCACTTCTCTCCACTTTTGGGCAGGGAAAGGGATAGTTAGCTCAGCTATAGATGAGAAATTAACTCCTGGTTGATTCTAGGAAAGGTCCCAGTGGAACACCCAATAAGTTTGATCAGGAAGTCTCAACGCAGCACTTTGCCACTTACCTCCTCCCCTTTTCCTCCCAACTCTCTTTCCCTTTGATTCCAGTATTATTTAAGGGTACCTCATTCATTATGTAAACTCATTTTGCCTAAAGCTCTCAACCCTATTTACTTTTTTGGTTTTTTTAAACAAAGCAAATAGGTCAGCCAGCAAAGGCTAGTCATCACATTTCCAGGAGCCTAGAGGATGTACAAAGGCTCCATGCTGTTACCTCTTTATTATTTGAGGGGAAAAAAACCTAAACACTTTTTCAAACCAGATATAAACACCACGGATATTTTATGTCATTCAGCAATGACCCTCTACTGCAGTTTGAGATGTTTCAGTAATTACGTAAATGCTTAATAAGAAACTTAAGGTAACATGTTGGCATATTTTTATTATGCGAAGGAGAAGTCTCTGGATGCTTGGATCCAGAATTCTAAAGGCAAAGTATCAAACCCTCACTCAGTTTGTCATAAATGGTGTTTTCAGAAAGACCTCACAGCCTCAAAACTTTTTAATTGAAAATGATTAACTAAAGCCACAGACCAAGTAGAGCTGCTGCAAGTTCGAACAAAGTGAGGGGCAGTACATGCATGCATTGGTGTGTCAAGACCATGAAAAGGCTGAAGAGAACACCACGGAAAATTAAATTTCCAGTTTTAGAACTGCTTTAATACAATTCAAATAACTCTTTAATTTTTGCCAAAGAATAATGCTAGTTAATCAGTGAGCAGACTGTGCCTTTTAATTCATCATTTTCAGAAGCTTGTTCTGTCCCCTGTCTAAACCTATAGAAGTAGGCTGGAGGGACAAGGGGTAAAGGAGGAACCAAAACAATCGTGTCTGGTAACACTGGACGCGTAGCAGGGATATTCAGTTCAATTCTTTAGTTTGAAAGATGTATGAAGTATAGAATGCAGCTTTCAGAGGGCCTATGTTCTTGTAATAATTGCAAGTTTGTTTCATGGTGGAAGTCTGTTTGACATTAATTTACTGTCAGACCCTTGTCACCAAAAGCCAGAGATAATTCAAAATACTCAATGAAGCTCCAGCAGAAGATATTTTAAAGTCCAGTGAAGTTCAACAGATTGAAGCATCAGTTCTCAGACTTCCTTCTTTTAGTACTATCCATACTACTAAATTCCTACATCAAAAAGTAATTTGCTTTATACATTTTAACAGAGAACAAGAACCAAACATCCATTTAACTTTTTTTTTTAAAGCAGCAAATCAAAAAGAAAGAGCAAGGGAAAACATCACTCCCTCCATTATTCTGGATAATTACAGGTTGTAATTTGTTTGTACAGATTGTACAAACTGATTAATGTACAAGTTCTCAGCATTTTATTTCTTTAAACTAGGTTCATATACATTTGTAACTTTGCACTCTTCATATCAATTACTGTTTTTATTATGACGCTACATACTTTGTTTTTGACTTAAGGATATTGAATCAGCAGTTCTCACATTGGCCTTGTTTTGAAGTTTATTTGATTTGTCTAGATGTCTTGTTTGCTCAGCTTGTTTACTCCAGTCAGCGCTGTCAACCTGGGAGATTGTGTTGGATACCTAGAAGAGAAGCTAGACTTCAAAATATGTTCTTCAAAATGTGTCTTTAGCATATGTGGATTCTTATTATACAGCATCAGGATTAAAGGTATTTTTTCCTCTGTGCAGTAATCCCTTGAACTGAGGAAGGTGTTGCAGAAACCTGAGTCATAATATACACTTCTTGCTATCTTGGACAGTGGACGCCAATGGGAAAGGGTGAGCTGCTTTTCTTCCTTACTTACAGGATACATTCTTGTGCTCCTAAATTCAAGAGGTGTTTTCTATTAATTTCTGAAAACAAAAGCTAGTACAGCCTCGCCAAAGCAGGTAAATTTTCAGCCATGTTAAGAAAGACCATTAAACACCTTAAGATGGAACAGATCATGCTGCAGTAACATTGATAACTCCCTTTGTTACACAGAGGCCCTTCTAGCCAGGATACTCTCCAAGAACATATTGAGATAGAAATTAGCAGTGACTAAATATTTCACAACCTCATCTGAAAGCCCCAGTTTCCATAGCTTTAGGAAAAGGAATAAAAAGCAACACACTTTTCCAGTATAGCCTCTAGAGCTTTCACAGTATTACCGAGTTTGTGAAATTGATATTTCTAGAAAAACATCTATTATAAGCTGCCTGTCTGTTTTGTGAAGCTGTAGGTTTACAGGGTGGACTTTTAGCCTGTAAGCATGCAAGGGTTACTTAAGTCCAAGCTCAAGCCCTAAAAAGAAATAAAATAAGCTTTATAGTACACCATAAACTTGATTGGCCAAACTTTCCTTTTGCGTTGCAGCCAACAGGCAATGAAGTAAGACCCTGTTAAAGGATCAGAATCACTTTGTTAGTAGAGTTTTAGAAAACTTTTGTTCTAAACCTGAAATGGCCTTCGTCACATCACATTCAAGCCTGAAGTACTATATTATATCTTATTTAAAGGAGTAAAAACATGCTTTAAAGACATTATTTGAAATGAATTCATTGGAGAGAAGCACATATTCACCTCTGGAAGAGCACGTCTGGACTGAGTGACAAAAGACTGATTTGTCTTTGGAGTAGTCTGAGGAGTTTGCTGGTCTGGAGCATCATACGGAACACAAACAGCTGAGATTACACCTGAGAAAGAAGTAGAGTATGATTTTCCCCTATCATACAAAGTGCAGTCCTACATCTCAAAATTAGGTCACTGTTTAGATCTGTGGATTAACTTAGTATGAAGATATGTATGCTAGCTGCACAATTTAAGAGTTATTTTTAATCAGATTTTAATTGATTTCTCAGTTAATCAGCTACTAGCTCAAGCTGTCTTTTACCAAAACCTCAGAAGTGTCTGATGTTATTAGACCTTTTGAAATGAGGGAGGGAAAAGCAAAGCTCCTTGGATCAAGTTCCTAAGCAACTTCATGTATTTGATATGTCTAGACAACAGTAATCAATTTAGAGGACCTATGGCACCAAGTCTTAAATTCAGCTAATAGGCATTTCAGACCTGACCTTGAGTAGTGGTGATGGGTTTAAGCATCTAATTCCTGCCTTAAGGTGTTCAGCACTTCCTGTAACTCTGGGTTCATTAAGGTATCCTTTTCCATCTGAACACCTCCTCCTGTTTGAATACTACTCTGTCCCACCACAATCTGAAACTCTAGCCAATCCTCAGTGCTGCCATGCTTTAATTTACATCATGCTCTTTGCAATCCGTACCCTGCAAGAATTTTTTCTCATATCCATTTGATAGCCTCCAAAATTCCAAGAGAAACTTATTGGGCATTACAAGCATCCTGGCACCCATTTTTCCCTCGGCAGTCAAATATAGCCATAAAGGTGTTACCTGAGGGAGAGAAGGCATTTTGTTCTGGTGGCTTAAGTGATCTATTCTGTAAAGGCTGGAGCCTCTGCTGTACATTGGGAGGTGGCTGCTGCAGATCAGATGATCCATGATTTTGCAAGCTACTAGTAACATATGAGTGCTGTGCTTGCAGAACAGCATTGCAGGATGTCCTCTGTAAACAAAGTGGTATTCTCTATAAAGAGGTTATGGTAGTTAATACAGCCAAATCTTCTTAATAGTGTTTTGATTCCCTTTCCCCACCACTGCTCCCATTTCCACTGTTTATCAGATTCAGTAGTCCTTGTATTGTGATACTTATCCAGCATTTTTTTTAAGAGTTTAGATGACAGAGACATGAGGTAAAATGCACTTACTATCTTGGTTGACAGATACAGAAAACCCCTAAAAACAAAACGTAATGTGAGGATTTGAAGTGTGATGTTTGTTGTTACTCAGAAAGTCAGTTAGGGGCTGTTACAACTGACCAAGCTGAAGCTTATTTCTTGGATCCTGTTTTCTCAAGTTTATTGCTGTCATTCTGTCACTGCAGAGGCTGCTCTTCTTAAGCAAAAAAAGTGTGTTGCATAATTCCTCTTTTCAGTCTTTGCTTATGAAGATGTAGAAGGAGCAGCTGAATAATAAATTTGCAGCCTACTTTCCTGTACTTTAAGGGAAAGCAAACCTATTGCAAAAAGAATGAAGGCTTTGCCGTGATCTTGCTTTGAAATTCAAGGTCTGTCTTTGGCAGCTTGAAGGCAAATTGTAAAAGGCAGTTAACCCTGACAAGAAATAACACCCAATGTATATACAGGAATAGAGCAGTTCAATGTAAGAGGCATTAAAAATTATTTCTGGATAAAACTGCTGATGGCTATAATACCATAGTAATAAGCAATATTAAAGTATCCTGAAAATAAGTGATATATTGTACAATTTATTTATTTTCAGATGTAGAAGTGAGGTTGTTCATAAAGAAAAAACATTTAAGTGAGGCTTGCACTGTTTATTGGCTCATGGATACTCAAAGATCAATTTGGAGAGGATTTGACTTTTTTAGGGGTGTGTGGGCAGCATTCTCCCTCTCTCCTTCACCCTACACACAATGACCACAAGGATTATAAAAGGTAAAACCCTCAGGAGTTCTCCCATGACATCAGTTTATATACAGATGCATAAAACTACTTTAAAAAACCAGCAGATTTGACATCTTCATATAACTCAGTCCTACAGAACAAATAACATTCAAGCCATATTCATTATTTCCTGATAAAGTTGTGTAATTTCCAATACTATTGTATGTTAAATTTGTTTAGGGCAAAAATATTACCTCCATTCCAGTCAGTTTACCTTAGACTTTTCCATAGAAGTTGGACAGTTCTGCCTGGCTCCAATTTGTTTTGAACAGGTTTCTGTAGCTGTAAATACAGTGAGATGGGCAGAAAGAGGAGGATGGAAAAAACCAAATCAGTCATTCACATACTTTACATTATTCACATATACAAGCTGTGAGTTACAGCTGTACCCAGAGAGCCAAACCTCACAGTGAAAGGAACATTCTTATCTTGAATACTTAGCTTGATGCGTTTAGAGAACTTCTCCCAGGTATAAAAACACCACAAAGATTCCTGTGGGTTTAAGGTCTTCACTGCCATTGACTTCACTGTATTTGCTTCCTCACACTACAGAGGGTTGAGCATTCATCTCACCTTATACCTCGCACAGATATCTACATTGTAGACCTCCAGTTTGGCAGATCTATCTGTCCTAGAAAACTAAAGAGAGTTTTGTATACAAACTTGAGACAGCTAAGCACCAGGGTGGACTTTGGCTCTACAGTCAGTGCTGTAGGCATTTGTGTTTCTCAGCTTAGGGACTAAGTCTTACCCTAGGGTAAGGCATCCTTTATGCTGCAGACCAGAAGATGAAAGTAAAGTGAATCACACTTTCAAAACCAAATCAAAACTACAAGAGTAAGCTATAGCCCAATGGTCAAGTGTCCAGGCTGGATACCCAGACCTTTTGCTAGCTTATTTTGGTCTCTGAAGATTTTAACTGGTAAGTTGAATGGATGTTGTAGTGGGGTTTGTTTGTTTTGTCCTTGGTTTTTGTTTTGTTTTTACCTAGAAACTCAGTATTAAGACACTGATTTAACAGCACTGCAATTGAGCCTTCAAAACAGAGCAAACCTACAAGGATAACTAAAATCCTTGTGGATTTTAGCATGTGGAACAGTAAAAGCTAACCGAGAGGGCAGATGTTTTGCCTACGAACACAAAAGTAAGCTTTCTAACCTGATTCGGAGTCACTGCTATCTGAGGAGCTAGAACCACTGCTAGTGCTGCTGCCAGAATCCGAGGAGCTGCTGCTGTCACTCAGTCTGCTTGGTCCAGTACTGGACTCAGTGTTGTTTTCAACTGCGGGAGAGAAAGAGAGAATTCAGAACAACCGGCAGTGGAGCATTCTTCATAGACGAGACTGGGATCAACCTTGTTAGGTCTATTCTCCCATGTAACAGTTCATCTTATTCCACTTCCTCGTCCACTGTCCATTTAGCAGTAGACTTGAGAAAAAAAGGGCTCCCTCTACAGAGGAGAGGAGGGGGATTTCCCAGCAGCATTCCCAGTTGAATGACTGAAATATCCAGGGAGGAGCTGTAGTCACATGACTTACAATCCTCAAGTAAATTAAAACTATACAACACAATTCAAGCAATTTTCCCCCATAAGATTTCCTGCTGTTAAGTGACTGTTTATGTGCTTGTTGCTGCTGCTAGACTTGCATGCTGAGGTCTTTATCTACAGTCAATTCTTCTTTCTCAAGCCATGTGTACTCCAAAATTGCCATCTATCGCCACCTCCCCACCATCTGACTATTTAGCATCTGCAGGGTTGATTTAACTCAGCTTATAGGGACTTTGCAGTCAAAGCTTTTTCCAAGTTGTTGCTCTGATGGAAGCTTTGCAAATGAGAAGTTACATGGATGCCTGTCTCCCTGGACACGAGTCTTTGTTAAATGCCAGATTAAGCTCTTGTAAACAAGCTAGATGCCAGTTGTGAAGATTCCCTAGCCTGCCTCTTCCCTCTCCACACAACATATAGTTCCCAATTGTTTTCAGCTGCTTCTTCAGGCTTTTCTTTTTAGAGTGTTTTCAAGCCATTATGTATACTAGACTGGAAGACCTGACTGAGCTAATGCTAGAGCTGGATGCAAGCCTGTGTCTTGCAAGGACGCTTCCATCATTTCAGCTAACTGGTTTTACACAGGAGCTAAATAGATATCCAATAGAGGGCAATAATAGCGCTCAGTGGTTTAATGAGGAACAGCTTGACCTATAATAGTAGCATCAGCTGCATTGATCCATTCTCAGCCCCTGATGAGAACCACCAGTAAGTGTACAGTTCAAGTATGTACTAAATTTCTGGCTTTGATCTTGAAATTCATTATTACCTGAAAAACTGAATTGATTCTCCTAGGATACTTCCTTAAGTCTAAGGTAACACAGACACCTGTCACTGACACAGAAATTTTGCTAGTGTGACAGCTAGTGAGACTGCCACCTAACAAGCATGACTAGAGCTGGTTATTCTTGAGTCCCTAAACTATAGAAAGTGAATTATGAACAAAGAGACTGTGACTCTCCCCACTCCCCACCATGTTTTCATACATCAGCATAAAGGAGTTGTTCAGTGTTGCTTAAGTTCTGAAGCCATTCCCACCTTTACCTGTAATGAACTATTAGGTGCAATAATAAGGAAGATGCTTTAGACAGGACAAGTAACTGGCCAAATTTGCTGCTGTGACTCCAGCTCACTCAACATAGGAAGAATCTTAAGACTAGCAATGGGAAGTTTAAGACCCCAGCTATTCTGAGGAGAAAGTCCCCAGCTGCATAAAAGCACTTAAGCTCAAGGGAAGAATTTCATTTTAAGCTATTTCTATTCCAAATGAGTAAAAGAGCCACATTACACTTGATGTTCTTCTTTGGGTTTAGTTGACCATTGACATCCAGTAGTCTCTTCTCTAACTCTTGTTTCCTCTCAGAATTAAGTTGTTCTTTTGACTTCGTTGGTTTTTTAACTGCATGGGAAACAGAAGTTAACATGGAAGCAAACAAGAAAACAAATCTAGTGGGGTTTTTTTTTAAGCATCATTTCTACTACATACCCTGCTGCTTTCTTTGTCTCTTCCTCAAGCAAGTTGCCACATATTTCTCTAGTTCTCTGAGTGTTGAAGCATTTAAAGTTTCAAAGTCTATTTCTATCTCATCAGGGTTGGAGTTCCTCAGTGCAGGTTCTCTTGACTGTATTATATGGACTACTTTCCCAAGCTTATCTCCAGGGAGTTTATTTATGTCCAAACTCAACTGTCGTTTTTCATCATAATTCATGGGCTTGGCAGCATCTTCATCTTCTGATTTATGTGCCAACAAGACCTGCTGCATGGTTTTTTTTGATTGACTGCAGGAAAAAAATATACTGCAGTAACAACAGTTTGAAACAATTAGACACCCACACAAATCCCTCACACTTACATGTTTAAAGAGAGTTTTTTCTTTGATTTCTTCTTGTGTTGCAGATTTTTCTTCTTTTGAATCAAGCTTTTTATTTTAGCTTTTTCCTTGTTCTTTCTTTTCTCACTTTTAGCCTTTCCTTTTTTGTTTTCTGGTCTAGATAAACATGCTTTGGTCAAAACCCACAACTGCTGGTGAAGAGCTTTAAGCTATCAAAAGAAAGAAAAAAAAAAGCTGATAATCTTGGGCAACGTAGAAGGAACAATAAACTGGTCATAAATATCACAAGATATTTGTGGCAGCTGAGTGATATTAATAGAATATCTGCTTTCCAAATGAGATTTATTTTCCAAACATCTTACTATATTGTAGCTTAGTCAGACTATCCACCTAGAAGATATAGGGCTACTTATTTTATGCAGACAGTTCTAGCAGTGTGTGTTTTCTAATATTCTGTCAAGAGTGAAAAAAGAGAAAAAGAAAAAAAAAACCACTCTAGGAGCTTCCAGCATCCTCTCTTTAATTTCAAGCACTTATTAGGCTAGTGAGACTGGGCTCATGCATCCTAGTTTGCAATATAAGATGGCTAGTTAGGACATACCAGGAATTTCGGAGAAAAACTTAACACAACTTTGTTTAAGTCTCAGGATTTGGAAGATGGTCAGGTGATGAGAATTAGAATTCAGACATACTGAACTACTGTAGCAAAGACTGGCTTGTATACTTGCTTATCCTCCTGCCTACACTCATAAATTGATGATTTATCTGCTCATTTGACAAGTACTGAAAACTGTTCCTTATTTGACAAGCAGAACAAATGCTAATTTCCCCCAGAGTTTTCAGATACAGAAGCAACAGGTTAAAAGATTATGTTCAAGCAGAAACAAGACCCATTCCACACTTAATATGAAGCATGGCTTTGCTTCACTGGTTAGCATGAAGTTCCTTCTGTTCTCTCATACTGAGCTTTCTGAAGTAGAAAAAAATGGCTTGCTTTTGTGTGGCTCAAGAGGGACAGAGGGTAAGAACAGAGCTCTTCAGCCATATGAAAGAAATGCCCCTATTGGAAGAATATGCCACTAAGCTAAGTGTGGAGTGTCTGCAGGCTCTCATCATACCACAGGAACAGTTTCATTTTTTAAAAGTTTGAGAGTCATCTGAAGAAGTGGTAGGCAAGAGTAGTAGAACCCACTTTGTATTTGCTGAGGCACTATTCTTAACTTTTGATGGTGCTTCCAAAGAGGAAATAAGTTACTAGAATCTCTTAAAACTGATTTTTGGTGCTAAGCCTCAGAATGGACAAATCAAAGTGGCAGCGTCAGAGAGATCTTAAGTCATGCACATGAAGTATTAATGCTCACTTGCTCCTGAAGCTTTGCAAGGTGCACTCTTTTTTCCTCTTCAGAGTCTTCAGATGATTTTTCTTCTGAAGAGTCATCATTACTACTTTCACTGGAATAAGCTTCTTTCATTTCTCTCACAGGCTGTGGCAGATGAGCACTTGCAACAGGTTCATCAGGAATTTTGGCGAAGTGCATTTCAAAAACATCCTGAAGAGTTAGGTTTGGGAACAGCGTACTTTTCAGATTTCTAAAAGCATTATGAAGTTACTACTTGTGCATAGCAACACAGTCGTTCAATAACATTAGTAGACTCTACATCAGGGCATGAAATGACCTACTCTTTTTCAAGTCTGACTTAAGAGAGAACTCACCTGAAGTTTTCTTGCCATGGCAACTATTTCATGATCTGGAGAATTATGTTTGTAGCAGCTCATGAACATTAATCTAACATCTGTAGCAAATTCTTGTATATCACTATATTCAAAGTTATCCATTTTCTTCTAGAGGAAAAGAAGAATAATGCATGTTTAGTAGAGAGCATTACCATGAACTGGCACAAAAAGAGGAGGGTACAAGAATTTTGACACACAGATTCAGGTTCAGCTTGTATCAAGACAGTAAATATTGTAAAAAAAAAGTTATGCGAAGACCTGCTTCTCACTTTAACATTGTCCCTTTAACAAAGACTTTTTTTCCTCTTTTAAACAGATTTATTAATTGTAATTGCTGGAAGGACTTTCTAGTACTAGTTTCAGCACTAGGTTAAGACAACAATATTTGAGTGACTTTATTTGATTATGTCCTCAGCACCCGTTTTTGATTCTAAACATGATGTTTACACAAAGCTTGTTCCATAATAGCTAGAGTTCTAAGGGGCTAGAAATTGGGAAATAACCTTTATGTTGTGCAAGCCAGTTTTCAAGGTAATTCAGTAAACGATTTAAATTCAACCTCCTCTCCCCTCCCCTCCCCCCCCCCAAAAAAAAAGAGAAAGTGGAGCTTAACTGGGCTATACTTTAACCCCATAGATATATGCCCAGTGTTCACAGAACACTGTCCACATATCTCCATCTAGAAGGGTCACTTTTCACAAAAAAGGTGAAAAGTGTCACATAAATATCCAGTGTTGAGGTTTCACGGCACTTCACCAAGGATATTGAGATTCAGAGAGAAACAGAAGTTGACATAAAGAATTGCATTTTGTTTTACAGGGCATTAACAACACCACTGTATGTACAAACAGAGATATTTAACATGCAGCCTGCTTGGAAGGGCTTCATAATTCCCCTCACTCCTTATATTAACTTGTTCACTGGGTAAGTAAATTAGCCATTATGTGCATAGTCACAAGACTTAAACTTTCTTCAGTGACCTGTGGCTAAGTTTGAGACACGTAAGTATCTGGATTCTGTGCCCATTTTTTCTTTCAAAGGAGAAGCAGCTTTCATGACACCTTTTCAGCTAACACATCTAAAATCTTGTAATTGCACAAGTTATTCAAGCAAGCACACAAACAGTCTAATTTCCTCAGAAACACACTTACTTTAATGGTTCTTAGGTCTGTAGGACATTTGGCAATGCCTTGGTTCTCACCAGTGGAGAAAGATGCCCCATCTACAGGTTTTAAGAAAGGCCACGCATATGCTGCATGTTTCTTTGAAAACATTTCTTTAAGTATTGCATTACAATGTTTTAATTTTTCTGACAACTGAATCTTTTTAATAATTCCAGGTGACTGTTGAGAATGTGGCAAGGATCTCTTCAGAAGCTTATTTGTTACCATATGTTCATTTTCACCTCTGCCTGCTTTAACAGCTTTTCTTTCATTAAACATGGTAGAAAATTCACCACTTGCTGTGACTATTGAAGTAGTAGGAGTTGTAGTGTCAGCCTTCCTTTTCACACCTTTTTTTGCCTAGGAAAAGAAAAAATATACAGTTGTCCAGAGCAGTAATAGAATGGTCAGTTTTCAGACTATACACACACACAAAAAGAATAATCTAAAAAATGTCAGAGCTTTGACAGCTGTTGAAGTCAGAGCAGAATGTGGCACTTCTACAAGTTTAGACTGAAAACCTACAAGTTATTACAAGATCAGCACACCAAGCTTAACCTTAGATTTAAAGGAAAGAATGGGATGTACTGCAGGTCAGGTTGTGGTCAGTTTTTAGCCATTCAAGAGGATTCCAGGAAGCAGGTAGGTTGTGAAGTTACCCACAAACTGACTGCAACACTGCAACTGACTGCTATTTATTTTAGGCCCGGTTGCGGGCTTTGTGTACAAGGTTTATCTTTATTTTTCTTTAACCTGGGTAGTATTTGGTTTGGAAGCAATACAATATGTGCTTTGTCATCGGTGTTCAGACTCTTCTGGAGTGAAGTGTATACACTGTAGGAGAGGCTGCCACAGGTGCCTATTCCTCTTTGCAACAGCAAAACAAAAACAAGTCAATACATGAGAGTTTTTCTGATGGAAGTGTCAGATGTTCACATTAAGATTGCAGTTAACAAGAACTTGCTTTTGTGAGCTACAGACATCTTCCAGACTAGTTACCCAATGTTCAAGCAAACATGCTATTTTTGGAGAATCAAGCGTTTGATTTACATTGAAAACATGAGAATTATTAAATAGAGCTTTATTTTAGTACTCAAACCATTATCCTCAAAGTAGCCACATTATTTCCTCAAGGAAAGAACAGTTTCCTGCATCAAGATCAAGCCTGCAGAAATATAGTAATACTCTTCAAAAATGACCACTTTAAAGTTCATTTTGCTTCTTTGAGAACAACATTTTAAAACTACATTTATAAGAAAAGATTTACCAAGCAGTCATCCCAATTTCTACTTAGTTTCTAGAATTAGTACTGGCCCAGTTATTTAGCAGAGACCTAGAAGATTTAATAGAGATTTTTTACTGTCTTCTATCACAATAGAAGTTTTGAAAAGATATTGCAATAAGCCTAGCTCCTTAGGTTTTGCTGTTAATGCCTGAAGGAGCCATTTCAATATCTTTCTTTCTGAAGGTTATTTGAGGAAACTTACTTTTGTTATAGGGACTGCAGCTGGCATTAAAGCAGTTGGCTGGGCTGCAGACAAAGGAGCCGGAGGAATCTGCTGTCGCTCTTGAGTCATCACTGGAGGCCGCTCACAACTTTCAGCTTGTGTCTGATTTGTGCTTTGTTCATTTGAAGTCCCAGGGATGGGCTGCTGTGTTTCTGGTTATTTTAATATAGGAAATTTTAAAAGTTAGGTCTTAAATGTTGCAGTTAATTTCTTTCATGGTCAAATTGAACAGTTGTCAGCAAAACCACTCTTCCACACACAAGTGGTACAAATAAATACAAACAAGAGCAGTTGTTACTTATAGCAACATTGATATCCTCATCAGCACCATTAGTGCCTCAGCTAGAATATTGTACCAAGTTCCACATTATTTGGCTTCAAGAAAGCTGTGGATTAACCTCAGACAAAAGATTAAAAAGGCATCACACTATATGCTGTATGTTGTAAAAACGTTCTTGCCAAGAAGAGAATCAAGTTCTTTTCTACAAACACGTTAAAGACCAGGCAGCAAAGGGTGCAAGCTGCATCACGAAGGTTCAAGGTTCCTAAGCATAGCTAATACCTGCATATATGGCTAAGCAGTATTACAGCCCTCCACCACTTATCTGAGAAGAGTTTAGACCAATGTTTTTCTGTATTTGCTTTGGCTGGTTAGATTACTAATGTGTTTTCCAGCTGTTATGCTGTTTAGTTCCCACAGATGTTTACACCTATTAGTTTATATAACACGACACTGAGCAGCCCTATGACATTTTCTGAAATGGAAGTCAGTTGCCTTTTTTAAAAGAATATAAATCTTCTAAAGCCTTACAGCAGTATTGTTACTTGTCTGATTGTTCTGGAAAGAGTAGAAAACACCCCGGCTGCTCAAGGGTTGAGTTGTGACAAAGAGGATTCCCTGTTTCCCGCTTTTGCTTGCTTGGTATTTTAACAATTCAGGATAAAACACAGGCCTTACCTTCTGGCTTCTTTCCTTTTTTTTTTCCTTTATTGAGACTCACTAGTGTTTCTTCTGGTGGCATTTGGGCTATTTTCCGCATAAAGACTTTTTCTAGTTCTTCAGCCATAAACACAATGTCATCACCTGGCTGCAAAATACAGTCAGTAACACTCAGGAAAGGAGAGACTGCAGTAGTGGGGGCTACCTCATAAAATAACCAGACTACAGGATCCTGCTCCAAGGATTGAAGAAAGCCACTAGTACCAGAGAGGTCTAGAAGTTCTTGCCATCCCTGCCCCCACAATTCACTTTAAAACAAATTACTTCACTATTGAAATACTTTTTCTCCCACTATCCCATTGCACAGTCCTTTTTTCCATCCCCATACCTCTACAGCAAAGGGAAAAGGGGACAGATCTTCAACTCCCTTATTTACTACTATGTCCTGAAGAAAGCTGTTGAAGCTCAAAGATACTGAGACACAGCCAACAAACATCCAAGCACAGGGAGATGCTCACACTTCATTAGGTTAAACTTATGGGAGGAAAAAAGCATGGCTCATGGTTGCTAGTGTTCAACTTGTACAGGAGTTACACAGCACTTGCAGATTGAGCTGCACAGCTATTTTTAATGGCCAGTCTTCGCGAGCGAAGATTTTGGGAAAGGTCATTAACCCTTCCAGCCTGCGCAGTGGATTTTTTTTTAGGTGAGACACAGCATGCGCTGAACTGAGCCTGGTGGTCTAGTGGTTAGAGTGCCTGACTCTCACCTCTGCGACCCGGGTTCGATTCCCGGCCCCCTGGGCAGGTGGAGCTCGTCAGCCTTGGTAGGCAATCCACCTAAGAGAAGGTCACTCTAAACAAACCTACATCCTGGGGACCTCACTGCCACTGTCCAAGCTTTGCTCGGCTGCACAGCTATAACCCAGAGATTTTGGAGGTGTAATCCTTGTACAACATTCAGTTGTTGCAACAGCAAGGGAGACTTTACTTACATGCCTTCAGTCAATCCTAGCAAAAAAGCCTCCTCTCCTTTCAGAGAAAATAGTTTAAAAAAAATCATGAAGACATTGACTTAGTGCAAGTTCTAATAACCATTTGCTTGTTTTAGACTTGTTTGGATTGTTCAATAGAATCAGTTACTGGTAAGAGGCTGTGTTTCACATACCTTGTTATACATGTAGCAATTCAAGAACATAGTTTTAAAGTCTTCAATGCATTCCGCAGCTTTTGTGTAGTAATTGTGTTCCAGACGCTTTTTTATGGTGCCTAAGTCCATAGGTTTCTTTATAATACTGTAATAATCCTGTGGTATTGAAAGAATAAGTCACCAAACAGGTACCTTAATATTAGGACTTGAAGATTTTTACACATTTAGCTATGAAAGTTGAATTTCAAGAGAGGAGAACTGCATTATGTTAGAAGCAATATTTTTGTAAAAGAAAACTTTCCCCTGTAGCCATAGGTACCAAAAAAGTGGTCAGGAACTCTTCACCTTATATTTCCTCCTTGTTCTTTCATATAACATACACTACTGAAAGCCCCAAAGAATATTTATTTCAATAGAATCCAGAGCTCTCCTGGTACTAATGCTTATGAAAAGTATACACACTTCTCATTTGTTATCTCAAAGCCATTTGCCTGAAGTAGCACTCTGGTTTACAGAACAGTGGAAAAAGAAGCCAAAGACAAACTTGGACAGAGACAAAGTCTCAGTCACTAACAAAAAAGCTGCCTAGTTTTCACAATTGCTGTCCAAATACTTTATTGCCTGTGTTATACTAGCTCTCCTCTCAGGGTTAGTCTAGTGAACATGTGGCAATGACTGAAAGGCAGCTGGAATGTGAACTATTGTGATTATTTTAGTAGCATGGCTAAAAGCTTGTGGGTAAGAACATGAGGCTAATTCCCTAATGGTGCATTTAAGAAACTGGAACAGAGATATCCCCACTAAGTTCACATACACTTTGTGTGAAGTTACTACTATTCCAAGCGTGTTCTAAAGCTGTCCTAACAATCTGTGTTAGTGAAATAAAAAAGCTAAATACATTATAGTGTAGACTATTGAATTTACCAAAACACCACCAAGAAAATTTTTAAATAATGCAGCTAATAATTATTGTCCATTCTACCATTAGAAGATTCTAGTATCTGGGGGAGAGAGGCAAATGGGGCAAATACCTTTATTGTCCTTGCCATGGAGCCAGACATTTGCTTGCTATTGTGCAATGGTTGAACTAACACATACTCCTAGAAGTCAAGAGGCTGCCTTAGAAATCCAGAGAGGCAGAACTGCTCTGAAGCCAGCTGCAAATGTTGCTACAGCTCTGATGGAATGACCCTTAATATTAACCTTAACTGACAGCTCCTTCCAAGAAGGAAAAAGGGTAAGAAAAGACACAAGAAGATAGTCACTTTGACTGTGCTTTTGTACAAAGTGACCAAATGAGTTTGTCACAAGAAAACAGCCATAGATACAGGCTTTTGTCTGCTCTGAACAGAACAAATGATTTTGTACAATTAGTCTTGGAAACATAAGAGAAGTAAATATGAATGCTTAAGCTAATGGAGAGGAAAAAAGAAAACAATCAAAGGAAACATGTCATGGTTTTATTTAACACCTTTCTACTTATCTACCAAGAGTGGTATCTTCCAGGTCATTGAAATACCATTGTGTCAATAACCTATGTTTTCATTTGACTGAAAAACATCCAGAACTGGAGTCTAAAGATACCTGAATTAAAACAATTTATCACAAGACATTATACACATGCACTTTATTACAATTAAGTTTTAACAAAAATAAAACCCACGCAGCAACACGGAACAAGAATTTACCATCATAACTATTTCCTAGAAGATGGTCTAGCACTGTGGTATTATAAGAATCATATCTCTTCTTTTCTTCCCTATTTTTACAGGGACATTTAATTCTTCTAGAAACTTCAGAGCAAGATGATTTGAAATTAACAAATACTGCAAGTGTAATGACTTCTATGCATCAAAATGGATCCAGATTTGCCTATTTACTTCAGGGTCAGTCAGATCTGTTTTCCCATCATAACGTATTTGACATTGAGGCTGCCTCATATTAAAAATAAAAAACTCAAAGGCAAAAGAAAATACTCACCATATTCATTGTTAATAAATGTCTAAACCAGAAGACAACAAGACAAATAATGCCAATATCCAGAAACTCTAAGAGGCTTATCTAAGCATTATTATTATCCCTTCAAAATACAGATATTCTAGCCTCAATACAGAACACAAATTAGAAAAAAATGCAGCATTTCTCTACAAATAAAACAGTTTTCTTGTAGACAGCAGTTCAAATGCAAAAGTAGTCTTCCATAACCTGTTGCATCAGAAAAAAACCTGTTTTCAACTAACATTAATTCAAAAGTCCTCTAAATATTTTACTTATTAATACTCTTATTCCAAAATGGTTCTTACAGGAAGATTCAGCGCTGCTGCATCCACAGGCTGGTGAAATGGCCAGGAATAGTTGTGTCTCCACATGGCTTTCATGACCACCCTCCGTAAGTACTGGAGCTGGTTTGTCTGACAACCACTACTTTTGTTATTTAGGTATTCTGGTGGAGGAGGGTTAATTATAATGGAATGGTGTTGACTTGGAACAGACATCTTCAGTGAGTTTGTATATCCACTTGTTCAAAGATCATTATGCATCACACCTGAGGGGAAAAAAAAGACAGAAGTATTCAGTGAAGAATATCTGGATTTAATGGTGCTTACATGTTCCCTTCTGTTTGTAGAATGTCAATACTGTAGCTACAGGCATACCTTCATGTTCTAAGCAAGGCATGTGTTTTACAAAAGTACATATTTGGATATACTGCACCCCTAGAATCTAGAAATACATCCTAGCTTTCTGCTAAGAAAAACTGATAGCCTGCTTTTCATCATGCTATGAAGTATGTAATGAGTTTCAGAAAAGTTCATTATAAAGTAGAAAGCTACTGTTATCAGCACACTGCTAGAATAGTATCTATGGCCCAATCTTACACAAACTGTAACATCTCATCAGATGCTGCGTATCACACATCTTATGTTTTCATTTGTTCTTTATTTCAGCATTCAAAAGCATACTTCAAACAGCTCCTGAAGCTAAAGAGACATTCCAGTTTCTCCCCATGTGTGTGGACAACAGTTTGGGTTGGAAGGGACCTTTTAAACATCTAGTCCAACCCTTCTACCATGGGCAGGGACCCATTCCAATAGACCAGGTTGGTCAAAGCCCCATCCAGCCTAGCCTTGAATACTTTCAGGAATGGGACATCCACAGCTTCCCTGAGCAACCTGTTCCAGTGCCTCATTACCCTTGCAGTAAAGCATTTCCTCGTCATACCCAATGTAAACCTACTGCCTTTCAGTTTAAAGCCATTCCCCTTGTTCTATCACTACATGCCCTTGTAAAAAGTCCCTCTCAGCTCTCCTGTAGCCCCTTTAGGTACTGGAAGGGGCTCTAATGTCTCCCCAGAGCCTTCTCTTCTCCAGGCTGAACAATACGAATTTTCTTAGCCTTTCTTCATAGGAGAGGCCCTTCTTCTCTCTAATTATCTCATGACTCTTCTCTGAACTTGCTCCAACAGGTTTATGTCATTCCTGCACTGAGGACCCTAAAGATGGAAGCAATACTCTAGGTGGTATTTTCTGACAGTGGAACAGAGGGGCAGAATCACTTCCCTGACCTGCTGGCCACACTTCTTAGTTCACTGTAGTCATTTACAGAATGCAGATGTCTTTCCTTGAACAGTACTACCATCAAGGTAAAAGCTCTCTTTTCTTCTTAAATAAGGAAAATGTATCAAACCTGAGTCGTTAATACCTGGAACAGTTCTGGACTACCAGCCAGCATACCCACATAGGACACTACATCAGTAATAAATGCAGTACAAGATCAGATTGTTTTGAGGTCCACAATAAATCAGGTATCAAAACTATTGCTATTTTTCATAGTATTGCTTTTGCAAAGGTAGTTGATACTTTGACTGCTCATTTGTACTTTCCACTGGAGATGTCCATAAGAGGGAACCCAGCTAAGATGGGGTACTGGGAACAGCCTGATTGGCCTTGTCCTTCCAGTCAGTGCAGAGCCCTGCTTGCCCCCTGGCACAAGCCAGTGACAAACTCACCAGGCACCTTCTGTTGATGCAGTACCACAGTTAAGCATTCATATTGCTCTCCCTCTGTGCAAGCAACATCCTTCTGTTTACATTTAGAGTTCACATACCTCGGAAAATAGCAACACCTGCCTGACATGAAGAATGAGTGCAAATGTAATGTCTATTACTAAGTACACCACCTCAGGCTCTGCGTGTCTTTTATTCAGATGGAGACACACATCTAATTTCTTGAAAATTTTGTAAATTAGTACAGTAGAGTCTAGAAAAAAAAGCACAGAGTGCCCAAGGAAACCAGGAGACTAAAGTTTTGTACATAACACAGTCTTAGGCCTAGATGCTTAGCTTTTAAAACCTTAACTTATGTCATGGAAATCAACTTCCATGCCAATAGGAGAGCTAAGACTGCATCTTCTAAAGGACAGATAAAAGTTTGTGTTTTGGTCAATCCCTCCTTTACTACCTCCCCCTCCATCTCCCCTTCTCCCTAGTCACATAACACTTCTCCCTATCTTAAAATAAAACCTGTGTTTGCACGCTAAAGCAAAAGTGTGATCAGATTCCAGCTAGCTAAGTTGTTTGATGTTTTTTCAAACCACCCCTTCCTAGCTCTGTGTGTTCTTGAGCTGCTGAAGCAGATCCCAGAGGTCAAGTAGTCTTAAAAGAGAAGTCTTGAGTGTTTCCTTAAGGCCTAGTTTGAAGTTTTTAGCTAACCTGATAGAAGTGTCTTTTTAGTTTAAGAATAAAAGGCAAATAGCTTACATGAATTACATCTCTAGAGAAGTCAAGGTTTTTAGCAAGATACCATATCTTGTGAGAATCACACTTCTTTCCTTTTTTTTTTTTTTTTTTTAAGAAAAGGTTATTTGCTCTCACTGATGGCTCTCCAAAAGCATACATTAGCAAGCCTCCTGAAAAGGCAGCTATTTCCTTTTGTTTTAGCTGAGCATTATAGCTATCAGCATAGAACCTGCATATATCATATACTGGTCAAGAACAGCAGCTCAGAAAAATATTAGCATACCACATACAGAACAAAGGCAGACAGTCTACCACACTCTACATTTGATTCTTCAAGGCCTTTTTAACAGGTTTTTTTTCAGTAATAGTCAATAATCACACTGAAATTTCATAAATAATCTTGGAACCTCCCATATGTTGATATATTAGAACTACCCAGGACAGAGTACAGCCTTCTTACTGCAAGTAGCACAATTTCTTCTCTCAGAAGGACAGCTATCCCCTTAAAGACATCCATAAAACAGCATTTCCTTATTTTTATGAGCTCTCCTGGGGTACATCAAACAAACCTTATATTTAAAGACAATCTGTATAAATATTAGGTGCTAAGAAATCACTGACTTAGAGCTACTACCATAACCAGCCACCCTTGAGCAATTCAAAACTAAACTTCCACCCTCAGAGCAGACCAGTCATCTTTTTTACCTTAGTTTTAGGGAAAGCCACAACTCACTTCCTCCCCACCTGAAAGATGAAGGAAGACCAGAGCTTTAGAAGACAGACACAGAAGTCTTTCTAACCTCATCGCACCTTCATTTTATTCTCTAGCAATAACAGCCACACACCTGCAACCCTGACTAAAACCTGCCCTATCAATGGTCCTCATTGAGAAGTTATCAACATAAAAAAGGAACAGCTGTTAAGGGCTAAAACACACCAGATGGTTATTTTGCCAGACCTGCTCACTCATTAGTTAATAACACTAGGTGGAGGGATTAAAAAAGAGGAATTGGTATACTTAGATCAAATTTGGTTTGATTTTCCTATCTTAATTTTAAAGTCTTAAATTTAACATAATGGAATGCTTATGTTTTATTGATTATGCAGGGTCATACTGTGCTATGTTGTAAGAGCAGTACATAAATAGTATGTCTGGTTAAGAGCTGGCTAGTATTCATACCTTCCTTCATATACAGATTCATTACTTAAATTAAACCTAAATATATTTAGCAAATGCATAGTAGTGTAAAAATGAGGGACAGGTTGTTTCCTAATAAATTTCATTTGTTATCAGTAAAACTACAAAGGAATTTACCAAGCTTATTTTGAATTTTAGCTATTGACTAAGCTTTTGTTTATCTCAGTACACCTTAAAAGCTTCATCCCCGGCATGCTTTAGAATAAGGTAGCTCTGCAAAACGAGATTTGTATTTAATTCAGGTGCATGTCCCACTTTAGGATCAGAACCTGCTTGGATTCTTATCATGAAAGTAATTTATCTGCATACTTTTTTTATTTTCTCTTTTTTTTTTTTTTTAGCAAGGTGTCTGAATGAATGGACCAACTGTACTTGGATGACTCTTTTTCTGGCAAAAGTATGAAGTACTTGTATAGGATCTAAAATATCTAGGGTAGATCTGGCATGTATTATTACTTAAGCAGCCCAATCTGTTAGGATATGGATGAAGTTGTTGGGGGAAGCATTTGTTTGCTGCTTCCTCTGGCACCTCTACTGAGCTGTGAGTAGGTAACACAAAGTTTATTCTTTATAGGTGATATGAGGAGGATGTTTTTACTGGGATGTAAGGAATTCCTATATTTGAAGCAGAACAAGTACTAGAAACCTCATTCAATAAAGAAAAGTAAGGAAGGGGAGTGGAATTCTCTGTAGGTAAGTCTCAGGGTTCGCTGAACAGAGTGATCTCCTCACTAGAGGATTGTTACTGAGGAGTATGAAGTTGTGTTACTATTGATGGGATTGGACAGTGAGATGGGAAGGACACTAGCAAAAATCCCAGTAGTGGCAAAAGAAAACAGAAGCTGTTGTCTATTGAGCAGACTTGTTTGCTTTCTTATTTTGCTTTCTGCTCTTAGCTTCCAGACTGTAACTGCTTAATCCTCCTCTGAATCTGCTCACGTCTTGTAAAAATTTAAGTCAGTTGGATCTGGTGGGCTGTGCTGTGAATGGGGAAACACTGTGTTTGAAAACTATACTGGTTTGGTTTGTAAATACTTAGAAAACCAAGTTTTAATGAAATCACTACCTTTGTGTAACTGATATTAAAATAAGCTGAAAAAGAATGTACTACAGTAATTTTTGATTCATTTAAATACTATGTGGGAAAAGGCAACTTTGAAAAATGTTGCAGTGTTCATTGCTGGCTCCCCAGTCGCAGCACTTGCTACGTGGTCTGAGTCTGGCTGGCTGTGGCCTGTAGGCAGGTAGCTGCCAAAAATACTTTTGGCAATTCTCCCAAAGGTGACGATTGGGTAGAGAGGAGAAGAAAACAATAAAATAGTGGAAAGAGGTGGTGACCTTTATGCTTTTGTCCTCATCCAGTGTCTGCTATTTCCAAGACAGTCCTAGTGCCATCCACTTACATGACAGATTAGAATGACATTCCTGACATGCTTCAGAAAATGAATTTTTACAAGTCTGATAGGATGGCTGAGATGGAGTGGTATTTCAGTGCAGACTTGTTGACAGTTCTCTCTTCCTGCAGTGGGTTAGACTGCATCTTTCTGAAGACACCTCATTCTGTAAAGAGTTTTAATCGCTTCTATCTGGGAGACTGTAAGACAATGTCCAAGGTAGTAGCCTGAGACTTCATTAATATGGTGAATATCATGGAAATAGATTATATTATTATATTTGAAATGATTCATCTGTTTGGAATGTGAAAGCAAGTATCACTGATCATTCTTAAATGTCTGCTAAGGCAGAAAATCTGAGTGGGATTTGATCTACTGAACAAAGGCATTTGAAGGTCCCGTGGGTAGAAGGTAAATTTTTAAATACTTGCTCAGAAGATGTGAAATAATGAAGTATCTATTTCTTTTCATCTTTAAATTTATATCTTCCTACAGGGCATGTTTATCCCTTGCCATGGATCTTGTTAGCTGAGGTTTGCAAGTTTTATACTTTCTGGTGAAAATTTCACTTACAGATAGCCATTTATCCCTGAATCATGATGAACTCTTCCTGATTATAAACATCTGTATAAAAATCGGCTAGTGCTGATAAACACTGCCAATTACAGACTGGGTCAGTGTTGACAGCTGAGGTTCAGCAATTAAAAACTAGTATTCTAAAAAAGCACCTAAATTGAGCTGACAAGGAGGGATTTGTTGTTTTTTTTTTAACTGACTGGAAGGACCTCACTGACTTTAATCTCCTATGTCCTACATCGCTTGTAAAATGTTTAAGCTATGTCATAAGGATAGCTGGATTTTCATACCTGTTGTACTTTTTCAAAAAAGTTTGGATAATTCCCTGGAGACAGTGAACTGGTGAGAGTGCTGTTGCAGTCATTCCCATAGCAGTTCTCTGCACTGTGTCACCTGCATCTGTTCTGAATAGGATTTCATGACATGGGACATGAGCTAACCAGTGTTTACTTTCTCTTATTAGTTTAAAAACAACTCTCAAGGTGCTGTTGCACGTAGTGCTGCATTTCAGCAATATGAAATGAGCTGAAATATGAATGAAACACTGAACAAAGGCAAATGCTTTGCAGAATTGTATGGACTGTATTCTGCAAATCAGATCTTAGGGAGAAATGGGGATAAGTGAAGCAAGATCATCAAATTCCTGACACTTTTTGTCTTCTCCCTTGCTCTACATTTGCCTTTTAGCACTTTGTAGGTTTAATCATGTATGGAGTGTACTATCCTAGATAGTAGTGCAATTTGATGTGATATGTTAATAGTTCACATTGATATATGCTTACTTTGTGGGTTTGGCTGTTGCTTTGACACCGCTGCATCAGCCTCACAACACGTGAAACACAAACTATTTATTTTATAGAAGTTGAATGATATTTCCCAAAAGTATTTCCAGCATGTTAATTTTCTTCTCCCTGGGAGCATTTAAAGCACTGCTTTGCCCAGTGAATGCTGTGTGACAGGACCCTTAACTATGCAGGTAACAAATACTTCAAAAAACACTGGAAGCAAAGTAAAGGGGAACTGAAGCTCAAAACGTGATTACAGGAGTCGGCTTTATATCACAGTAAGACACAGAAACTGAAGTTGATGACTACTGCTTTAATAGGCCAGATTTGGCTCTCAGATAGCACTGTAAATTTGGAATAACCCTACTGACTTCAACAGATTTGCTTTAGGTTTTCATCCAGGTAAATGACCTCAAAGTGTCATTTCCCTATGCTCTTTGTTTAACTCATTGTATCATTTTCCCAGGTATTTATAACTTTGTTCATCTGAGACTCTATGGCAGAGTACCCATAAAAGTTGTAAAGGCCAGTCTTTGGTACATACAGGAAATGACTGTGAAAAAATTCATGCATCCCATAAAGCTGCACCATTCCAGCTTGCTTTCTCACCCACTAGATTGGTTTCACTTGCTAGAGAAATCTCACACCTCATTAACTCAGCCTTCAGCTAGTGTCCAACTGAGGGACTATTGCAGAATGATCCCTGACTGGGAACATACTACATCATCAGCTGATGGAGCTGGCAACTACCTATTTCTCTCCCTGAAAATTAATTTCTAAACTCTTTCATTACATTTGAGTCAATTATTTCTGACATTCAGCCAGTGCGATGCTCCCTCTACCCCTGCTGTGGCTCTCCTGGCCTCTGCCAGCCTGTGGATAAGCAGCTTCCTCTGCCTTGCTCTCCCTTCTGGCAATTCAGCTTCTCACCTGAAGCAAACACGTCCCTCTAGCTGCTTTGCTCCTGCCTGGCCTTACTGTTCATTGGATTGCTCAGGGACATCTGCTTTCTCCTCGGATCTTTTAAGTTTTTTACTTTATCCATATTCCCTTATTAAATAGCTCCTCAAAATAATTTCTGTCTGGTCAGGCCTTAATTTTTGATGGCCAGCTTGCTGCTGTGTATTCAGAGATCGCATCTGGATTTGGATGTGGGGGGCTGCTCTGCTGAAGGGGAGGTGTCCTGTGAAGCACTCATTCTGAGCAGGAAAAGAAGGCCTCAGTCACTAGGCTTCTCTACATAGAACTTTAATGCATTATTCTGAAGGGTTCAAGTGTACATCGGTTCTTTGTCCCATCCCGTGACCTTTGGCCATATAGAGAGAATAGCAAAAACATTATGGACTCCTATGATGTGGAAAAGGAGTCTCTTTTCATCATGTGTAAAATTAGCAGAATGAAATGCTCAATGTGCTTTTCAGAACCAAAGATTTAAATAGCTTGCCAAGGGAAAATGACTGGCTTGTTCAGTATATTTTTGTACTCCCCAGGATGTTGATACTCAGTATCAGCACTAAATTTGTGGTTATTAGAACCAACTAGGATGAAAAGAATAGAAACAAAACAGTGTATTAAGTCTGAATTTAACCTTTTTATTTTCTTTCATGAGATGCCCTCTTTGCATATGCCAGGAAATTACCTGTTCTCTTCTAGGAGGTCCTCTAATGTTTGCCTAAAGCAATAGTACATAATAAAATGCTATGTATATTTAGCCATAAATTAGGGATTTAATTTCCGTTATATAAAATATGTTAAATCACATGATTTATAGTAGTTTGAACAGAATCTATGGCAGTAATTTTCAACTGCAGTTATGGTGTGGCTGTGCTGCCATCATATGATTGAATCCATAGAATCTGAGTGGCACTTGGATGTGTATTGAAAGGTTTGGATGCTCCCCACACTGTCAATCCCTTCCTTGTGCTGTGGAAAAAACTGAAGGTGGAAAAGATGCATCCACAGCCTTATCTGCTTACTGAATTGATTTTGTTGAAGTAAGGTTCTAACAGTTGTTTGAGTCCCTGAGAAGATAATGTATTTCTGATTTAGTAGTGGTTTATTTCAGCATAATTTGAATTTTTAAACCATCTTCAGTGGTGGCTTTGTGCAAACTGAGTTGGCTCTACATTACAGCTGGCTAGGAGTATGTACATGTTATTAATTACTGTGCCTCAGCTGAAACCTAAAAACTTCTTGAACTGCTCTAACACAGTTGCAAGCTGTTATGTATTCATACCCTTCATGATTTAAGCTAACCCAAAGCAGATCTGATTAAAATGAATTTCAGCACAATTGCTTGCATGAATAAAATTGGCTCAAAGTTATGCTTGAAATGCAGAACTTGAGGTGACGATTGAGGAGTTAGATCCCCTAGCTACGTGCCTGATCTCTCTGTGAGAGATTATACCCTTACAGCAGAATTGCATAAATTTGTACTTTTATGAGCTTTCCAATCTCAGATCATTCACCAGGTACCCGTTGGAGATCCTTAACAAAATACCTTCCTATATGTTTCCTGATTGTGTCCAGTGTCCTACTCTATTGCAACCTTCTGCCAGTAGATGTCAGCTCAGAACTAGTGAAAGTTTATTCTGCTTGTTTTGGTAATAAGAATTAGTGGTTCTGTGACTTTGGCCTTGACTTTTAATATCAGATTGCTTGCTGAGAACATCAGAAAGCATGATGTCAGTATTCACACATTCAGTGTGACCAGTGTGACATTTGCACACTTGGTGACATTTGTAAAGAGAGAATTCAGCTTAAATACAGTGTGATTGAAAAAGGAAAGATGGTCTGTTAGTTATTAACCTTTAAGGAAAGATTTTTCACGATCAGATTCTGATTCAAAGTTGCCATACTGAGAAGCCAGGGCAAAGGAACCACTGTGTTGCAGAGGGTGGTAGTTATTTGCAGCAACCTCTATGCTGCCAGAAACAGAACTACTGGGGCATTCAGAGGAGTCTCTGCCCCAGTGAACTGGTTATCCCCGTGAGACAATGTGAGGGAGGGATATGCTTGCTGTTGGGATTTTTTTTACTTTTTCTTTTTTTTTTTCTTAGAATTATAGGACTATTTTTAGTTTGTGTATGTTGGTGGAACTGCATCTTGAGAGCCAAAACTTTGACCATTGGTCTTTATGGTAACATGGCACTGTTCCTACACACTGGAACTATCACATTTGGGATGGGCTGAAACCATGTTGTTGTACACATCTAGGACAACCAACAGTGGGGAATCCAGGAAATACACCATGGGGCTGAATAAGGAGCTTCCCCAGCTGTCAGGACCCTGAGCATACCAACAGGCTGGGCAGTCCATTCTCCTCTCCTGGGAGTGGTTTGGGTCCTGCCCTGACACAGGGCAGCTGTGTAGCCTTGGATGAGACTGCTGGGGAAAGAGCAGTGTGAGACAGGGCTGTGAGGGCCATCCTTAGGATCCCCCTCTTTTGTCTCAGGTCCATGCCCTTCCCTGAGCTATGTAGTACTTATGCCCTTGCCTGGCCATACCCCTGCTAGCTGGCTTCCTGGCTTGACCTAGGACCTGCTTGATCACCGCAAACTTGTCTGACAATCACTGGACTATCAGCTGACCCTGGCTGCTGCTGTCAGACCTGCTCTGCTCACCTTGCTTGGGGGCTTTGGGGTGGGTACTGTGCAGGTGAGGCTACATTGGCTCCATGTTTACCCTGCCTGGTGGAGCAGCCAGCTCCTGCTCCCTGACACTAACCTGCTGGTGGGTGGCTATCACAGGCTGATTTATCTTCTGTAGATTACAAATTTAAGTTTAAAAATACAAGTATAAATTAAAATTAAACTTGTCTTGGCAGTTCAGTTCTTTGTACTAGGACCATGGAGTCTGTTAAGTGATTAATGATGTGTGTCCTCAAAATTCATGAAGGTAAAAGTTTCTAAATTATTTTCAGAGATTGGGCTTTTTGAACTGATACGTATTGTGTAGATGGCATACCTGCTCCCACTTGGTATCTAAAAATAAAAAATGGAGACATCAATTCCAAGAAAATGTTATTCCTTATTTTTGCAGTCCGCGGCCTAGCTCAATGAACAGTTGTGGATGCCAATATAATAAATTCAGAAAAGTCAAGTTGCACACTTCCAGAGTCTTTAGGAGATTAACTGCCTGTTTGTTTAAAAAACTCGTTTCTAATGACCTTGCTGCTTTCATGTCATTACTTTTTTTGGGAGGGAGATTCCTCACTCTTGCCATTTTTCAACAAATGGAACTACTTTAACATCAGAGGGCCAGGCACAGTGGAACTTGCTGTAAATGTTTGACAGTGGCAAGAGGGTGATTTTGTTGAACTGGGTGAAGGTTGATATTGGTGACAAAAATCCAGGGCCCCCAATTGGATTGAGCTAACCAATTCTGCACTGTCAACCCAGAGATATTTTCATATGAGGTGTTTTCAGGAGCCTGCTTGTTTAGGGAGCTGATATGGGCAACCAGAAAATCCCGTTGTTCCTGGGCCTGGCTCTAGAAAGGTGGGAATTAAGATATACCCTGCATACCTCCATTGAAGTGAAATAGGAAGTGAGTTTTTGAGTGGAGCTATAATGGTTTGAACAATTTTAATGAATTTTAAATTATATTTTACCATACAACCATCAGTTAATTTGTCACAGGCTTTATGGGTTTATAGGTTTAGTGAGATTTTTTTTTAGTGAGATTTTTAAGTGTTAAGTGACCATATGTTTTACAGGCTTAATATGGCTTTAGCTTTTAGGCGATTGTGAAATTTTGCAAGTTTTTTAAAGATTAGTAATCTGTTCCTTGGCTCTTCTGCATGTGCAGAACCCATACAGCAATGTATTTTAAACACAAACCAAGTCATAAACTATTCAATTAAAGCCAAACCATTTTAACCCTAACTACTTGTTCATATACAGAGAAAATAATTCACATGCAATGTCAGTTAAAAGGATCTGTATGTATATGTGCTCAAAACATCTAAAATAGCTATAGTGAAATTATATGAGCCACTAATAATTAGATTAATGAAGGTCAGTCCCATTGATAGTGGCTCTCTGAAGAACTCTTCCACTTCTTTGCCATTCCCAGACATAAGCAGTTCCTGTAACTGCTTGTTGAGGTGGCTTGAAGCTGAGAGTGTGGATGCTGGTGCTTGAGAGCAGTGCCACTGGTACTGAAGCTGGTAGAGAAGCTGCTATGAAACTATGTACACAAGCTCTTGGCCCAAGACTGGTGACTGACTCCTCTGCTAAGCCTCTATCCTTCTGCAAGGAACTTGTCCTGCTATTTCTACATATGCATTCTGCATCCACTTCTGTGGAAAACTCACCTAAGGCCTGCTTGACTTTCCTCCATTGCTAAACACTCCTCCCTCTGTGCATGTCAGCAGCAGCTTTTGCTATTAGTGTCTACGAGCACATCATGTTAAGGACAGTTTAATAATCTTAGACCTTGGCCAGGGAGATCCTCTATTACCAGTGCTGATTCTAACTTTGTTTCAGGCCAGAGAAGTCCTGGAGAGTACAACAGTTGCTGAAATACCATAATGGAAAAAAGAACTAATATTTGAGGCCGGTGGGAATATTCCACCTCTCTATGCCAAGGAGCCTGTGAAGGGAGCAGTGTATCAGCAAATGGAGAGGCTTAGTAAGTGACCAGCCCAGTCCTCGGGAGTTTGCCCAGTCCAGAAATCCCACAGACTTGCTCTAATAGGTAATGCTGGCCAGCATTATTTACTAGGGAGGAGGAAGGATAACGCAATGCTGCACTGGGATGCAGATGCTTGCTGTCAGAAGAATGGCTTTTCCTCCTTCATCCTCTTATCTCAGCTATGTTTTGCAAATAACAGAGGAAGGATAAGCAGTGGACATGCAGCTCTGTTCTTGCAATAGCAACAGTCCTTTGCTCGTGGGAAATGTTTATTACTATATCAGTGTGGCGTTATGTGACTTTTGCAGGAGTTGAGGTTTTGTGATAACTCTGTAGCAAAGGGAATGGGGAACCTCACACTGGAGGAGGTGAGAAGTCCTTGCTGCATCCCACTCTTGCAGTGAGGACTGTCAGAATTCCTGCGTGTCCCTGGCCACTGCCTGAAGCTGAGCAATTCCTACTCCCCTAAAGGGAAGCTTTGAAGGTGGCAAAGGAGAACAGACTGCTTGGCTTGAGGCTTCAGCCTGAGTGCTGATACTTCTGACCCATCTCCAAGAGCTGAAATGCCTTTAGCTGGAATGGGCAGGGGACGGTGTGGAGAGGCAGGTTTCTGGGAGCGAGAGAGGGATGGCTACATTCAGGACTCTGGTACTCATGGAGAACAAATAATGATGAAAGAGAAGAGAAAAGGATTTTGGCGCAACCTTTTTTTTTTAACAAATGTAAAACTGAAGGATTTTCCAGTGATATATTAATACTTAAATAAATGTGGAGGACTAATCCCTCCAGCATGGAATTGCACTGTGCATATCTGGTTTTCTTCATGGGAGGGTCAAAATATGTTAAAATAATCTTTTAAAAAAATAAAATATTGAGGCTTTGTGGGGGAGAAAAAAGCTGAAGGCAAGTTGTAGATGGGAAAACTGTTTTTTTGAGATAGATGGCTGGCTGGAGTCTGTTTTAGCTTAAACAAGGGTAATACAACTTGTGCAAGACTGACAGCAGAGCCTGTTTATCTAACTTTTGTTTATTATTATCTAGTTTCTGAATTTCTAGACCTCTGTTTCAACATGTTTAGAATTCCCATTTCATTTTCACAAGACACTATATTTTCCACTATGCATTTGGCTGTATTGCATGTGCAAGGGTTACAAAAAAAAGCATATGTGCATTAGTGCTGTACCTTTATATTTATCTACATGCCAAGATTAATCCAAGATGCGGTAATGTTTTGCCTTAGAGCAATTGTACCAATGAACCTTAACTCTGATCTTAAGAGACTTACTCTCTGTTCCTGTGACAGTTTGTTTATTCTTCACTTCAGGGCCTCTTTTGAGCTAAAACAGCCATTAAGAACAAATTGTTCTGGACAGCTTTTCTGCCTTTGAGTAACAAAAACTGTGCAACTTATTTTCATTTCTTCCTCTACCTTTTCCAGGTGATTGCTACAAACATAAATCCACTGTGGTATCCATCCAGCACTGGAATGTTCCAAATGCAGAGAAATTACTTGACTCATTAACAGTGTGACCTTCTAGCATTCTCTACTTGTAAGAATTGCTGCATGCAGGGGAGAAATCCCACTGTACTTTGTGTACATAATATTATGAATACAATGTGTATGATGTCTATATTGGAGGAAAAATACATCCAAATACTTTGTGTATTTTCAGTTATTTCTATAGGTTCTTGTGCTGCAGATAAAATTACAGCTGTATTGTAAAATAATGTTGTATTGAGGGTTTAGTCCTAAAATAGATCTAAGCCCCTGTAATTCAGTGGAAGGTATGAGTGCTCTGTATTTATTCAAGTAATTAATTTATTCAATTAATCAACTTAATAATTAAAATCAATAATCTCAAAAAATGGCTGAGAATATATTCCTATATTAAGCAGAAAACATTTTTTTCTTTCATTACAAAAAATATATTATCTGTGAAAAGGTAGAAGAAAAGAAATGAAAAGCACTGTTTTCCTGTAGAACAGTGGAGATATCAAGGGAAACCTGGAGCTTTTGTTAAAGTTAATAAGAGCTGGATCAAACCTAGGATTTCTTACAGCTCTCATGAGGCACTACAGCTCTTGACTTCACTAATCAAAAATTAAAAATGAATAATTATGAACTATATCTTTCTCTTCACTAAAGAAGAAATAACCTCCAAGTAGATTTAATGTGGTAAAACTTGCTTTATGAAACCTTTTTTAATTAACCAAATACCTTACACTATTTCAGGTCCTGCTGTTCTGTTTCTTCTTATAGGGGGACTACTGAAATGGAAACAAAGGTCAGTTTAGTAATATAGAACTGTTTGTTTTAGAATTACATGTTAAAAGAAAAGAAGTTAATCAGAAATGAAAGTATCAGTCTCTATCAAGCTAAAATTTCAGGCTGACAATGCAGATAGGTTTATAGTAGAATGATAAATTAATTACTGGTCTTTTAAAACATATTTTGTTGAATTGCAGTTGCAACATAATTTACAAATTGTTGGAAAGGAGATAGAATTTTTTTGTTTGTTTGCATTTTCACAGAGATTTTTCTGTGGCTGCCACAGAACAGAGACAGCAGTTACTTCAGTAGTATGGCAAGTACTCTTCCTTTCTGTTTGCATAATCCTAACGTAACTGAAATATTGCTCTGCTTAGAATGAAGAAAAATAAATACACGTGTACAGATCCATATGTATAATGTTTATGTGATTACTGATATTTTTAATGGAAGTATTTGTATTGCTAACTGCAATTGAGGATTCTATCTTGTTCCCTCTTTCTTTCTATTAAAGTTATGATCTAGGAAAATATGAACAACTGAAAAATCTGATTTACTGTTTCATATTGCATCTCATTAATTTTTAAGCTGCATAATTGTAAACTACAATAATAATTCTGAACAAATATATTTATAGGCAGTTGAATAGATAGATTGAGGAGCTGAAGTGGAGTCTTACAGGATACTTAAGATATTCTATGAACACTTTGTAGTACATGCATTAATGGTAAATTTTGAGAAGTGTGAAGTGTTGATAGATGGGATGAACAGAGCTGGGAATGAGCTTCATTACAGCTGCAGCAGTTTGTAAATACAAGGAGTATGACAGCTTGTTCTCGCAGAATAAGCACCTGCTCATCAGCCATGCTACCAATAAAAATGAAACACTGAGAGGAATTTCAGACTGGTTTTTCTGTGCAAAATCTGCTTCTGTTCAGGTATTATTGTCCTGTAGTGAGGATCTAAGGACCAAAGCATGTTTTACAACCTGAAGCAATCTTGTCTTGTCTGTATGACTTTGCCCAGAACATGTAAATTTCTCAGGTGGTGCTCAGTTAGCTGGAGCTTTCTGCAGAATTATGTAGGAACATAAATAATTCTGATAGTTCATGAAATATGAATAAAGGCCTATTCAATACTTTCTTTTTTTCGAGGCTCTTGGGAAACCTAAATTGAATTGTGTTGCTGAAGTTCTTTTAAATACATATTCTGTAAAACTTTTAACGTGCCATATATTTTTCCATTAATTTGAAATAGTTTTCAATTCTTTCAGTGTTCCCTCATGATGAAGAATTTTGGCAAATTCCAGTCCACATTTGTGCAAGGTTTCCAATAAGGGCTATTGGACATGTCTTAAAATGATTAACCTCAATGCTAGAAACATTTCACTTTTCTGCATTGCTACTTCTTGTTAATACAGAGAGAAACTGTCTTCTGTTATTGTTGGGCAAAATGTTTTGCCTGTAAGTAAAATTATAGGTATATTGTTATTTGTCTATTTGACATCTATGAGTACAGAAAGCCCAGTGCTGCTGCTTGCAAGGCATCCTCAATTCCGTGTCCACTCATGCAAGGGGCTTCCCCTGCATCTCATCATCGTGTGCTGGGAATGTAACAGGAGCATAAGAGACAAGAGTATCTGTCACAGATGTTGATAAGACTCCGTTTTTCTCTCCCCAAATTACATCAGGCTAAGATTAGTTTGGTCAAAAGAAGTGATAAAAACACACAAAAGCTTTCGAATTGACAGAGGCAAAAAACTCCAATTAAGATAATTATATAACTTAGATAAATAAGCTGTGCCATGACACATCTAATATTTTAAACAGTAATAGCAAATGTTGATAAGTTAAAGCAGGAATGGCTATTCACCTTATTTTATGAACCACAGTGAGTAAGTTACTCATGAAACTGAAATGTTTTGCCTGCAAAATTGAAAGGAAGTTTTTTCATGCAATGCATATTCTCCTTGGGAAAATCATTATTTGAGGATACTATTTGGTATCTAGAGTTTACTGGGATCTAGAAAAAGAACAGACAATGGAAAAAAATCCAACAAAACAAAGCTAAACCCAAGGCTTACTCAGGTTTGACACACTGTTAAGTAAATAATTAAGTATATTAGAGAAGAGAGAAATACTTATGCTACTGACTCACAGGGGCTAGAATTATCTCTACCTGAAACAGGTGTGACCCAACTACCTCTTGCAAAACACCCTGAATTTTTATGAAGCCAAGGACAAAGCTCTGCCCCAGCTGATCCAGCACAGCAATGGTATGCCTGCACTCCGATGGCAGTAATTCTCCCGTGATGTAGAATGTGGTGCCCTGACACCTACCAGTTTTAGGGGGAATCTGCATGTGTTTCCTAGGTTGTGTGATGTAAGAAAAGTCCAGATCAACCTCCTATGTTGCACTAGCTTTTAGAAGCACTAAGGGTTAAAAACTGCTACTTCAATGTTAGGGACATCCATGTAGCTCGTACATCAGGTGCACTGGCTCTGCTGGCTCCCACATAGCTGGTAAGGAGCTGGAGCTCCCGCTCCTGCCAGGAAGCCTGTGTCCCTCCACAGAGGCAGGGCACTGCCAGGTACACCTCTGACTGCTTAGGACAGGGGAAAGGGAGTGAGTAATAGGCACCTTCTGCTAACCTCCACCATAGGGTCTGTAAGACTCCCCGTGTGCTCTTCTTTCCTGATTTGCTCCCCTTCCAGCAAACCTTGGTGCCAGACACAGTTGATGCTTCCACACACACTCTAGTGTCTTTGCTGGTAAAAAATGCTGATTGGCATTCTAATGAAAATCTAACTGATGCAACCAAATTGTCTCTGATGCTGAAGTACATATGGTGACAGACGCTGTAAACAATTTCTTTTCATCTGTAAAGGAAACACATCACCTCCAGTGTACCCCTACTTTACATCAGACACACTGTTAAGAGTTTTATCTGATAATTAAGAACCAGCATGAAGATCAAATGTTGATTTTAATTTATACAAATAATTTTTACTAAACAACTGCTTTGAATGATACTATCTGAAATCGAAACCTTGGAAGTGCTTTGGAGTAAATGAGGTATTCAGCATTTGATATTAATATTTACTGCTGGAATATGATTGATTATATGCTTTGCTATTTACTGTGAAAGCTGGATACACTTAAACATAAATTCTCCTCAGTATATATGAGATGCCCAACTTGGATGCTTTTTCTTTCTCTTTTTGGCAGCGAATTTCATATATTCTAAGTGAAAACTCTCATCTTTTCTCATTACTCTTGCATGACTGATTTCAAATCTCTCTCCTATAATGCTGGGTGTGGTTTTACTTGCTTTATCACAGGCATTTCCGATAGTTTTGTGAGGTGATTTGGAACCTATACAGTAAAGATGTCCCATCTCTAAAGTAATGGCAAAATTGTAAGAAAACTTGAGCGTGATAGTACAAAATGAGGCCTCTTTTACCCCCTTTGCACCTCCCTGCCCCCAGGGCTGAAGTTGGCTGAGCCACAACTAGTTCAGTCAAGAAGTTTCTTTACAGCCTTATGCAAGGGGCTTTCATTCTGCATATGTTACAAATAATAGCTTTGGACTAATAAGAAGATCTTAGAACATTACTCGGACATCTGTAAGTCATTATTGGAAGTTACATTCCTGTTTGAAGGATCTCTCCAACTCTTCCCTCCTCCCCTTCTCCCAGATCTCTGCTGGAAAAAATGTCATTCCCTGTATGTTTGAAGAAACTGGTTCTGGTATCTCTGACAGTAGCTACGTTGATAATCCTTATGGTAGAAGTCTGATCTTTGTCCTATGTATCAGCAATGGCTTAACTACATGAAAATTACTGTGATAACAGAAAAAAAAATTAAATTTTGGTAGAGCAAATTGTCTGGTGAACATATGTCTGCCTGCTAAAATTCACAGGCTCTTTAATCTGAAGTGAATTTCCCAATAAGCAGAGCTATCAGGACTGAGGCCTTGGCTGAGTAATGCAGTATCCCACAAGGAAGAAAAGGCAGCATCCTACAATATAGTATGCATTTTTGCTTTGCTTATTCTGGCTTGAGTCTTATCTTTGTTTGAGTCTTGGCCTTTGGCTAGTATTTGTTTGCTAGTACCACTAGGAGATCTGAACTCATGCAAACAGAAACAGTGAGGGGTTCCAACTTGCATTTCTCCAGGCAAATGGCCTCATTACAGCTTTAGGCAACACAACTTAGACACTCAAGCAATTTCATTTATTCTGAGGAGAAAAACTTATTAATTGATTGGCATCAGGTTGAACCGGGGCTTGATGAATATGTGCACTATGGATATAGTTCCCTAAAAACTTCACTGGCACAGGTAGGTAAGATGATACCCTAAATCAGAGCACCACAGTAATCCATGCACTGTTCTGTCATACAGAATAAACATAAGTTAATGCTAGAGGTAGCAAAGTAAAACCACTTTGTAAAAGTTGGGTTTCTTTGTTTTTGTTTTTTTGACAAGGAAAAGAGACAGAGTGCACTGTAATTAGATATTATAATAAAAAATGTTTGTAAAATTTCTTAAATTAGCTGTAAAGTTTTGTGAGTTCTTTTGTCAGATCCATAAATCAGATTCAAGCAATTTTTTGTTATTTTTTTAATAAATTGGCAAGAAAAATGTTTAAGTTTAATCTGACCAGTTTTAGTGTATGCAGAAGACGTGTAGTAGATAAGTGTGAAAGACTTGCAGACAGTTTGTATGCAAGACAGGGGGGCAATTGCTTGTTTTCACACATGCTAACTTTAACATCGGTGAGAGCGTGTTTCTACAGTATATAGTTGATCAAAATATAATAAAAATTATAAATAGTTTTGAAAGTTTTCAAAATAATCCTTATTCTTTTGAACATGTTACAAAGACTAAGAAAACAGAAAAAGGAGCAAATTTAAAAAAAGATTGCTCTTATTTACATAGCTAAATTAACAGTGGGCTTGTATAATGCTTTCCTTTCTATTACGTGATAAGCCTCATGTGCAATATCTGTATTTGTTGGCAGATGAAAGATGGGAGCAGAGGGAGGTGTTCCTCATTTAAATAGATCTGTTTTCTTTTTTTTAATAATAAGCAAGACATAAGCAATCCTTTTAGTGTGCTTGGCTATATGTATTTTGCTGCTTAAAATTGCCCTGAGCATATTAATAGTAGAGCACAGCATTCAAATAATATCATGTGGTGGGTGTGGGAGTGAAGGCCTCGTAGTTGGGTTTGGGAATATATACCATGGGAAATCTCTTATGAAATAACTGTTACTTCACACGGTGTGGTCCATTCCAAATGCTAACCATTTACTTGTCAGATATTTTTCATGAGCCTTGCAGATAAGATATCTCTGTGGGGATTGATTTAGCTGTGTTCAGAAAACTAAGCTCTCACCAGAGATGGGGAAACCACTCCACCTTTCTTTCAATTTGGTGGTAGAATATTAACGAGGGGAGTGTTAGTCTCTGGAGCTTCCTCCCACCCTTCAACACATCAGATTCATATTAGCAATATTTATTATCTAG